GCCAGTCTGGATTACATTATTCCGCCGCTCAGGGATCATGCCGCGCAGGTTTGGCCTTTCAGTGCGGAGGAGTGGATGGTGGCGGGCGCCAGTTCTGAAAGCGTGCTGCTGGCGGTTTCCGCGCTCTGTCCAGCGGGCTCAAAAATTGCTGTCGAGCAGCCGACGTCATCTCGCCTGTTACGCATCTTGTCGTTACTGAAAGTAGAAGCGGTTGGCGTGCCCTGGGATCAGCAAGGACCCGATTTACAGGCGCTCAAAGCTGCGTTGGATCAGCAGGTTGCCGCATTTATCTATCAACCGCGCACCCATTTACCCCTGGGGCGCACCGTTTCTGCCGATCGTGTGCATGCCATGTCGCAGTTGCTCCGTAATTACCCTGAAATCACCGTGATTGAAGACGACCCGCTTGGGCCGCTGGCCGATGTTAATCCAGTAAGCATCGGCAAATGGATTCCTCAGCAAACCACGCTGGTGCGTTCTTACTGCAAAGCCTTTGGGCTGGATTTACGCAGCAGTATCATTGGCGGCAGCGCCAAACATATCGCGGCAATTCGTATCAAACGCTCGGAAGGGATTGGTATTATCAGCCGCATTTTGCAGGGCGCGTTGCACTTTTTACTCACCGATGTGGCGTCGCAAAACCGGATGCAAGAGGTGCGCGAACGCTATGCGCAGGGCCGCAGCGCTTTACAGCAGGAGCTGATTAAGAAGGGCGTAGCGTTCAACGCCGATCAAAACGGTTTGCTGCTTTGGCTCCCGGTGGATAATGAAGCGCGCGTGGTTTCAGCGCTAGCAGCAAAAAACATTCTGGTGTCAGAAGGCAGCCGTCATTTCATTCAGGCTGACCAACCGCATATCGCAGTGAATATTGCGGTATTACCCTCAGAAGAGGCGCAGATCGAGTTTATTGCAGAAAATATCGCAATGGTATTGTTGAATAAACGCAATGATATGTTTGATTGAATCTGTAACTTTGATTAGGCATTAGCTAGCAGTCATGGCTTTTGAGGTAGAAAATAGTGCTCAAAGTAACGGTGTTTTAATTCGCCACAATTGGCAGCGTGTTGTCGACGAAGCTGGCACAGGAAGGACATCGCGTTGTCTTGATTAA